TAAATAAGAAATCATAGTACAAATTAAATGACTGAAAGTGGGATAAAATACTTCAAAGTTAAGGACGGACTAAACGAAAAGACGCAAGAGGATCCAATCACCAGAGAGAAAAAAACAATGTATTGAATAATTACTCATTCTCAGCACTGTGTGAGTGGTTTACATTGTATCAGCATTCTGCAATCTGCAAGAACAATTCAACGAAGCATAATATGTGCCGAATATTTGAATTACCTGGTTCATGATGAGACTGTACTGTCATGCTAACACCTTGTAGTCAACCATTAAAATTTGAAGTCTGTAATTATTTGTATTGAGTCATATTTGTGTAATCAAACTTTATATCCCCCTGGTATGAGATTTCATCATATATTGAAAAACCTGAATGTTTAAAATTTACCATCCCTGTTGTGTGGTGCATAATGTTGTGGCATTTCAATGTTTGAACTTCAGAATCTATCGAACACTCAATTTCAAGGCCAAGACGGATAAAAGTTACATGAATTATATGGAGTATCTGGATTTATTGAAGTGTACAAAGACGTCTTTTATCTGACTTTTGAAGCCCTGCAGCCCATGATACTGATATTCCTTTGGAGACAATTTTATAAAATCTCTAATCTGGGCGTTTTCTCAAGACCTGCCAAGCTAACATTAATTATAACCAAATAGCAAGGGCAATTAATATTTTCTGCTAGAGAAGTGATACTTACATGACACATTTTTGTTTAGCCATTGCCTAATTGGCATCACAACTGAACTAAAGTGACTGACAATAGTAGAAGAGCGCCATCTATGGTCAAGACTAGAAAACTGTTCACAGTAACCAATACCACTACCTATTTTGCTCTATGAAAGAAGCACATAAAACAATGCACAAATATTGCATTTATTGTATGCTTTATCATTAAAATATGGCTTACTAGTATTTTGACCACAGATGCAACGCTGTCATTTACGCAAGTGCTTCTAATAGAGTACAGTAAATAAAATATTTTGTTCATAGTTGACACAAAGAAAAAGCCGAATTTAATAGTTTCAATTTAAAGTATAGAGAAGAGAACACTAAATCTCATTGAATAAAGAACTGTATGACTATAACTATTTGGTGGTTTCATAACTTGTTTGAATAGTAAGTGTTATTAGAAAATTCATTGCAGGTTGTTTTTAGTAACTTTAGATGGAGGAAGCGTACATAAAATTCAGCATGTTAATGTTTACCCAACGACTTTGATCAAAATTGACAGTTGGTCCACCGAATTAAATTGAATCACAAAAAAAAAAATTATGTGCACCTGTAACAAAATAAGTGTGATCATCAAAATCGTTGGTCATCTCCGAGAAACAGCTGCTGACACATTTGAGAATCAAAAATAGCAAATTCTACATCCAAAATGGCCACCAGTCAATAAAAAAAACTAATATGCAAGATATGATGTATTGTCTTTGTGTAAAGTTTGAATGAAATTGGTCAATGAGTGTCTGAGATACGACTCTGGACGGACTTCAAATTAATAGTCCCTAATTTCGAACTTAGTAAATATACTTGTATTCAGAGATTCATGGAAATAAATCTCCTCAGAGTTTCACCAAAAGCAAAATTATTTCTCATAATTCTCCTCATACTCGTATGTTTCCTGTCAGTAAATCAATCTCTCCCATGGCGTCTAATACATACCAAAGATAATATTGCACAGTGTAGAGATTTAGAATCAAGTTGTATGTACAGTCATCTGGCACAGTATTTTTGTTCACATCTACTGACAATCAGTCACGCAAAACTATAGAGGTCGATCTTTCACTTTACCTCACAAGGACCCCAGCGTGAAATGTTCCAAGTGCAATACATATGGACAATTTTGAGATTTGCTTCCAAAATGGCTGCTATATCTATTAAAGCAACAACATTAGAAATGATATGGGAGAAAGACTTTTAATTTAATCTGGAGACCCTATTGAAATGAAACAAGCTTTTAAGCACATATAACAATCAATCATAATGTAAGTAATCGGATTAGTAGAGTCGAGTGGTATATTTATTTTATTACTGACTGTCAGTATGTACACATCGACAAATGTACTATTCATGTAAAATTGATACCTGAATATAACTGTCATTTCAAGCTTAGTGATTTGTATCGTTTCTTGGTACAAATCTGAATCAAATTTATCTCCTGAAATAATGAGACTTCAAATATGAGCTTGTGAGTATTACATTTTATATTAGTTTAAAAAAAAAATGTTTTGTTCTCCAAATACTAGGTTAAATAGAAGATGTCTCTAGTAATCATAATGCTAAAAATTATAAAAACAGCACTATTTGTTCTATTAGAAGATTATACACAAAAGTAGACAACCCATTTAAAATGAACCAATGCAAGGTTGGTGTACTTAATATTCTACCGAAAATGTTTTGGGTCATATGTACTTTTTATTGAAGATGAGCTTCTAATAGAACAAATACAGTATATACCATTGTGAGTCAGTGAACCTTCAATTCAAATACATATCACGCTACAGAGAAACTTGTAAATGACTTCTCTATCATGAATGATCTAACACCTTGCAGTATGTTGCTCCATGTTATTGTTATTCAGCATTGTTACATAACAATGTGCAAAATTTTTTATTTTGATGACATCTATTATATATAAGAACGATCTGTGAAAAATGCCATGAATTGATAATGGAGATACAAAATTGTTGAAAAATATAGCAAGAAATAACAATTGTAGTAGAAAAAAATATACAAGATTATTATAGTTTCATCAGTAATGTGGTTAGAAACAACATTTTTTAGGGTTGTAATCCAGTACAATGTATGAAAACTGGAACCGTGCACACAGGAATACTGAAAGTTAATTTATAAATATCAACAGAATAAATTAATCATTATTACTACTTTTTGTTTAAAGGCCACATATATAAGTCATTCCAACAATCATGAAACAAATCACACAGGATTATAGAGTGAGCAACATCATTCATAATTAAGCCTAAAAATTTGATTAGTAGACATACTTAGCACATAAATAATGATATCAGCACAAAAAACGCATATATACAGGGAATGTTGTGCCATACACCATTTAAATTTCTGTGTATCACTGAAAATTTCATTAGTGACTTTGGTCCTTTTTTTTCAAAAATGATCAGTTTACATTGATTTATATTGACTTTCTTAAATTTTGTACTCTATAAAATCACTGAAGAAAATTCAGCAAATCCTTCCATCATTTTAAATTATTTGTGTTAGAAGACAATTTGTTTAGCACACAGTGCTATACTTTGTACTGATTAAAGATGGAGGTATAATGAAAGTTTTTGAAATTTGGGAAATGCATGTTTAATAAATGACCTGTCAATTTTCCATTAGACCCAAAAAATATTAGATTGACATTTGTATCAGACAAGTAGTTGTCCATATTGAGAGATATTGCTCTGGAACAGCATTCAAAATCAGCCATTTTGAATACATGTATATATATATAACATGATGTATAACGAATATATAAAATTTGAATATATAATCAGTCAAAGATATGGCTCTAGAAGCCCAATCATTAAAACAAAATGGCCGCCAGTCAGCCATTTTGAATCCAATCTGGAAAATAAAATGATGTGCATCAGGAGCCCGTAATGTCTCATGTATGTACCAAGTTTGAACGAAATCCATCCATAAATACCAGAAAAGCTTGATATTTGATGATTTTTTAGCACAAAAATGGCCACCATTTGGCCATTTTGAATAAGATCGTCAAACCAATATATCTGTCTGTCTATGATATGATGTATGATGAATATTTAAAATTTGAACATAATCAGTCAAAACAAGTCGGAGATATGGATCTAGAAGCCCATTCATTAAAACAAAATGGCCACCAGACAGCAATTTTGAATCCGATCTGAAAAATAAATGATGTGCATCAGGAACCTGTAATATCTAATATATGTACCAAGTTTGAACAAAATCCATCCATAAATGCCAGAAATGCTTGATATTTGATGATTTTTTTAGCACAAAAATGGCCACCAATTGGCCATTTTGAATAGGATCGTCAAACCAATATATCTGTCTATCTATGACATGATGTATAATGAATATTTAAAATTTGTACATAATCAGTGAAAGCAAGTCAGAGATATGGCACAAGAACCACATTCATTAAAACAAAATGGCCGCCAGTCAGCCATTTTAAATCTTATCTGAAAAACAAAATATTTGCATCAAGGTCCCATAATGTCCAACGTATATACAAGGTTTGAACAAAATCCATCTGTAAACAGCTGAAAAATGTTTGATTTTGATGATTTTTAGCACAAAAATGGCCGCCATTCGGCCATCTTGAATCAGATTGTGAAACAAATTGACGTGCATATGTATAATATCATGTATGATGTATGTGTGAAGTTTGATTGTGATTGGTCCAGGCATTTCTAAGATACAGGTCCGGACGCACGCACACACGCACGCACGAACACACGGAGGTTAAAACATAAGTCCGCGTTTTCGGACTGTGTCCGAACGGGGACTAAAAAGAGGGGTGTACAGCCTGTCATTGGTCAGATAATATCTTGTCAATGCATGAGCAGATGAACTTTCTTGTTGTTTCATACAAAAAGTAATAGACCTTTTAGGGGGAGGGAATAGTCCAGTAATACATTGAATTAATTAATATACATCTGAGTTACAGGTACATTTAAATGTAATGCAACTACATGTGGGTAATCAAGAGATAATATTTGGAATTCACCATTGAATGATCACAGAGAATTATGCATTTTTTTTACAATTTAATAAGTTGAAGACAAACAAATGATATGCTTAAAAATTCTTGAACATATGATGACTGCAATTAATTAAGTTTTAAAAATTGATAAGAAGGGAAAAGAAATTCCATTTTCAGACTAAAATAAAAACACAGCAGCCCAGGCAACTGGCAAATGCCAAGGCTTTGAAGTTGCCACAGAGGTATCATATCATTCTATGGCAACTGTTTCTATTCCATCATGTGAGGATTGGTAAACGAGAATCCTTTGAACTGTACTTGATTGATAGAATCTAATAGCCTGGGATCAGTTGGTGTCAAAACCACTTTCTCCATTGTAAACTCTGGATCAAAGTTACTGGCATCCTTGGCTGATTTCTGTTATAGAAACAAACAAATCATTAATAAGCAAATTATATTATCTTGATGTATGAAATGTTTGAGTGAAGCAGATGGACTATAAAATGTAACCCACAACACACAAAAAAATTATATTTATCATCCAGGGTGCTTTTGTGATGCATGAAAAATATGCTTACAATTTTGGGTTTGTATGGAGGAGTCACTTCTCTCCTGTCCATTTTATCCCAGTCAACCGCCCGAAAGAATGCATGTTTTCTGATGTCAGTCTTGATACCTAGTCGTTCGGTTGGATTGGGTTCCATCAGCTAGAAGACAAAAATGAAATATTACAGAAAAAAAGTTACACCAATGTTGCATCAGCTTCAGTATGTCCAGCACAGCATACTCTGATAAATCTGATAAATAATGATAGTGAAAATAACAGTAATGCTATTGCTATGGTAACCATTTAACACTTACTAAACTGAGACAGGCAGCAGCTTCTTTTGGCAGCCATCTTGGATACACTGGATTATCATTACAGATAGACTCAAAGAGTGCGTCTTCGTCTTCCCCATGGAACGGGGACTGACCAATCAGCATTTCGTACAATAGTACACCGAAGGACCACCAATCCACAGAGGAATTGTACTTCAAACCTTTCAGAATCTGAAAAGCAATGTAGAGTAAACAGATGAAAATGTTTATTTCATTGAATATGTATCCATAACAGTGATAGAAAAGATTATTACATATGTACTGCAGTTTATTTTGATTCGTCTCTGAAATCACAATCGGTATTTCCACAACCCATATGCAAATGAGGTCTGAGAGCAAACAAAGTAGTCCCTTCAGGAGTACCGTTTTTCGAAATAAACTTTATATAGAAATACGATATTTTCCCTTTGGGGTACATGAATATACTTGCCGAGTGAAATGAAATTTGAACAACGGTGATGGTACTTTTGGGCAGTCACTTATTTTGACTCAAACTAATTTGCATATCACCATGCAATAATGTTTTCGGTATTTTCACGGTCTATATGCAAATGAACATGTTATTTCCATTGGCTACCGAACTATTTTTATTTTGTAAACACATTTTCGTCTGCTATTTTTATCCTGTTCAAATCGTTCAGCAACATCTTTGGCATGTCAGATGTACATCACATGGAATACTACGATTGGGAGAACTTAATCACCTGGAAACTGAGTTTTATAAACCTTAAAGGGCTCTCGAAAAACCCACCAGCAGTAAAATCAGCGATTACTATAGAGCCGCAACCTTCAACATTGAGATACCAGGTTTCTGCTGGCGACGTTGCAACGTTACTGAGTTTCAAATAAAGAGTATTACCGGTAATGCCAAATGAGCAACCTTTTAATCGGTAACCAAGACTCATTCAATCCACGACCAGCAACATCATAAAAGAAGTTGTAGGTTGCAGCTCAGCGACGACCGCTGTCAATGAAAGTCATGCCGTCAGTGGAGTACCGTAGTTGCCCAGCATGTTTGCCAATGCACAATTCTGTGGTGAAACTTTTAACTTCAACACAAGTCATTGAAAATGACACAGTGCCCGTTAAGTTCTCTTTGTGCTCGTCATATTAAAGCGGAGGGGTTGTCGCGAGCGTGTCCTTGAAACTTGAGTTCCAAGTGGCGTATACAACAGATTTTTTATTTACATCAAAACACGTGTTCCGTGTAGTAGTAATATGGCGAAAAATAAAAACAGCCGTTATTCGGCCATCTTTGATCTGATTATGAAACACACTGATATGTATGATGTATGTGCCAAATACGAATGAAAATGGTACATAAATTGTGGAAGTAGTAAGGCCAAAAAGTCAGATGGCTGTCAATCGGCCATCCTTGACCAGATTTTGAAACAAATTGTCATGGACATGCTTCCTAACATGTATAAAGTACATGTATGT